AAGTGTTGTATGTCCTTGCTTTTTCATGTTTCCTGTGTCCTTACATTGATGACTGTGCATCTGGTGTAAGAGTTACTTCTTCCAGTATTTGAATTTGCTTTCATAGGGGAGAACTTTCTCCCGAAGATGCATCTATGGTGTTGGTTCAGTAGGGCACTTTGACTTTCATTCTACATAGATGCGGTAGTGTAATCTGTATGATTTCTTTGGCTATAAACAATGTCAGTGGTATCTGTGATTTCCTCAGTGATTTACAGTGCCATTGTTAGTGGAGCTTGTGGGGAAGTTTTGCTGGAGACAGGGATGCCAGTTGGGTCAGTCTTTGGGCCCCAGTGGTGGCAGCAGGCATGTCTGTCATTGGACCCCAGGGTGGTACACACTGGCACCAGTGTTAGAGGGTCCAGGCAGGCCTATTCTTGGGCTTCCAGGAGGCTTACTTGGATGTTGGTAGTGGTATCAGTGAGCCAGTAGGTGGGTGGATTCTTGGGTCCCTAGGCAGCTGGCATGGTGTGGGTAATGGCAGTGGGAGTGGCTGGAAAACCCTGTAGGTCCCAAGCAGTGCACACTTGTATGGGCAGTGGCTGCAATGGGCTGGTTGGGCTTGTGCATAGGGCCATGGGTGACACGTGCAAGCAGGTACCAGCTGTAGTGGTAACAGCAGAGTTGGTAGGCCCAACCTTTGGCCCTCAGGAGAAGTGTTCAGGTACCACTGATGGTGGACTGAGTTGGGCAGTCCCTCAGCCCTAGTCCATGTGCTCTGGCACAGGGGCCAGGGGACATGAAGCCAGGCCAGGTGGGCTTGTTTTCAGGCCCCTCAATGGTGTGTACAGGTACCAGCCATGGTAGGCAGGAGTGGAGTGATCCCCAGGCCAGCAATGGAATGCTCAGGCTGGGGACATCAGTGGTCACACTGCTGCCCTGCCACTGGGGAGGGTGGGGCACCTTCAGTGGCAACAGATTAGGCCGGTGGGTGGGGAATAGTCACGCACACCTTAGCCCTTAAGGTGGTAGCCTATGCTTCACTCACACCTCAGCCCCAGGGGTAGCAGCCCACATTTCTCTTGCACCTCAGCCCCAGCACCTCTGGGCTCCAGGACAGTACACAGTCAGTTGGGGACAGGGCTGTAAAATGGCTCCTTGTAGGCCAGGTGCGGTGGCTTATGCCTGTAATCCCAGCATTTTGGTAGGCCGAGGCAGGAGATCACAAGGTCAAGAGATCGAGACCATCCTAGCTAACACAGTGAAACCCCATCTCTACTAAAAATACAAAAAATTAGCCGGGCGTGGTGGTGGGCACCTGTAGTCCCAGCTACTCGGGAGGCTGAGGCAGGAGAATGGCGTGAACCTGGGAGGTGGAGTTTGCAGTGAGCCGAGATCACGCCACTACACTCCAGCCTGGGTGACAGAGCGAGACTCCATCTCAAAAAAAATAAAATAAAATAAACAATAACAACAACAACAACAACAAAAGGCTCCTTATAGATTTCTTAAAGAACTAAAAGTAGATTACCATTTGATCCAGCAATCTCACTACTGGCTATCTACCCAGAGGAAAAGAAGTCATTATGTAAAAAAGATACTTGCACACATATGTTTATAACAGCACAATTCATAATTGCAAAAATATGGAACCAGCCCAAATGTGCATCAATCAACAATTGGATTTAAAAAATTGTGCTATATATATACCATAGAATACTACTCAACCATATAAAGGAATAAAATAATGGCAATTGCAGCAACCTGGATGAATTAGAGACCATTATTCTAAGTGAAGTAACTCAGGAATGGAAAACTAAACATTGTATGTTCTAAGTTATAAGTGGAAATTAAGCTATGAGGATGCAAAGGCATAAGAATAATACAATAGACTTCGGGGACTTGGGGGAAAGGGTGGGAGGGGATGAGAGATAAAAAAACTATACATTGGGTACAGTGTACACTGCTCGGGTGATGGGACCCCCAAAATCTAAGAAATCACCGCTAAAGAACTTTATCATGTAACTAAACACCACCTGTTCCCCAAAGCCCTATTGAAATTAAAAATTAAAATGTAAATAAAATGCCTCCTTAGTGTGGCTGCTCAGGTCTCAGAGAGTGTGAGACTTAGAGCGAGCACCCTCGGAGCAGTGCCATTGCACAATCTCCCATCAGTTAGCTTCAGGGCCCACAAAGGGCGAGGGGCTCTCCTGTGCCTTGGATTTCAGGAGTCCAGAGTAGGAATGTGGACCACTGGGGATCTCTCACTTACCTTTTCCCCACATTAGGGAATCTCTCTCAGCTCTCAGCCTAGCAGGCTGCCTTACTTCCATCTCCTTCCTTGCCTTAGGTATTTCCTGTCACTTTTCTATCAAATTCCAGTGTTCCCTCTTGGATGATCTATTCAAAGTGCGATTATCTACTCACTATTTTGCCTCTTCTCAGTGTCGGAGGCAAGTCTGAAATGCCTCTAGTCAGCCATCTTGAAGCCGCCCCTCCCAGCAGCATGGCACCCTGCTCCAGTGACCATCTTGCCTTCTTCTGTGCAAGTCTCTCTCTTCCCCCTATCCTTTAAGGACACCTGTGGCTGCACTTAAGGCCCACCCAGATAATCTGGGATCTCTCCCCCATTTCAAAGTCCGTAACTTAATCACATCTACAAAGTCTCTATTTCCATGTAAGGTAACAGTCACAGTTCTAGGGTTTAGAACCTGGATATTTTGGGGCTCATTATTCAGCACATGACACCCTCTAATTTTGTTCTTCTGTTTCAAGATTATTTTGGATTATTCTAGATCCTTTGCATTTTCATTTAAATTTTAGAATCAGCTTGTCTGTTTCTACCACAAAAAAAAAACTGTTGTGATTTTTATGGAGATTACATTGAATCTATAGACCAAAGAGAGCTGACATCTTAGAAATATTGGATCTTCCAATATGAACATGGTATATCTCTTCATTTATTTTGGTTTTTAAAAAGTTTCTCTCAATAATGGTTTGTTTTCAGCATTCAGATTTTCTGCGTCTTTTGTTAAATTTGTGTCTACATAATTTATGTTCTCCAAGATAGGTAAATGACATATCTTCTAATTTGATTTCCTTTTTTTTGTTGTTGTTGCTGGTATACAGAAATAGAATTTATTTTTAAATATTTACCTTATATCCAAAAACCTTGCTAAATTCACCTATTAGCTCCAGTAGATTTTTCAGGATTTTCTAAGTATGCTTCTTTTTTTGAAAAAAAAGACAGTTTTACTTTTTTCATTCTAATCTTCGCATATTTTTTTGCTCTTTTTGCCTGATTGCATTGGCTTGGATCTCTAGCGAAGGCTTAAATAGAAGGGATGAGAGAAGACATCATTATGTGTGATCTCAGGGGAAAGCATTCAGTCTTTCAAGTGTGGTGTTTTCTACAGAACTTTGTTATCCGTGGAAACTTTATCACATTGAGGAAGTTCCCTTTTATTCCCAGTTTGCTGAAAGTTTTTATCATAAATGGACACTGAATTTTGTCCCCAAAAAATGCCTGTTCTGCCTCCATTGAGCCAATTTTTTTCTTCAGTTATTTTTCTGTTACATGAATATGTTGACTGATTTTCAAATGTTAAATCAACCTTGTGTTCCCAAGATTCATACCAAAAACATCACGGAGCACCTCTTCTGTGTGCCACCGCACGTCATGCTGGGGCGCCTGGGGACAGAGAATGCTCCCCGCCCTCTCTAAGCACACTCCAACAAGGAGAGCAGCAGGAAAGCCATGGGGCACTGCCACTGTAAGAGGGCCGTGTGAGAGACCCAGGATGCATGAGATGAAGTAGAAAACGCAGAAAGAAACAGCAGGAACGGCCCAGGGCCTCCTGTATGGGGAACAAACACTGAGCAGATAGAGAAGCAAGGAATGTTCAGATGTGAAGGACACTCTGATGAAGAGGCATCTAGCAAGAGGTTGGGAATGTCCTTTCACCCAAGACCTGCGAGGCTGAAAAAGCCTCCTGCTTCACCACCTGTGTCTGCCGCGTCATCTGCACAGCCCCTGTCTACCTTCACCAGCCCTGCCAAGAGGGGATCCTTTCTCCTCCCATTGTATACCCATGTGTCAGAGCGTGTATGTCAGAGCTGAGACTTGCGCCTCTATGCTTGGGCCATGGGCTGTCATTGAATTTTCTTATAGTTTAGGGAGTCTCTTCCAGAAAGTTCTAAGGACATTTATTGTACCGAAATCGGTTTATTTTAAGATTAGAAGAACTGAAGGCAAAACCTTTACTGGGAAAGAGTCCAGCATCTGCACACCCAGGGGGCCGTCCTGTGCCTGTCTGGTGCCTGCCCCCGCAGCCCCACAGCATGCAGCTATTGCTGGTTTTCTGGCACACTTTTGGAGGGACCTCCCAGGTTTCAGCTGTTTTAAGATGACGACAGACATGAAGGCCTTGCTGACACAATAATGCAGCATTTTTATGATGACCAAGAATGTTCTCATAAAACATCCCTCTTTCGCACAAATCAGGCTCATTCTAGCTTTTAAGACAATTACGTCGTGTCAAGTGGCCAAGAGCAATAAATAGCTTTGAAGGCCAAAAATGTTACTCTGACCCTAATATCTGCATTGTCCTTGAAACCTTGCAGCTGTATTTGTTTTTCCTTCATCAACCAAAGTTGATGTTAAGTGATTCCCCAACTGCAACCCCATTTATAGAGAATTGAGTCCCATTTGCTGTCTGACATTTTTAGGACCACAGATGTTTTCATGTCTTCCCTTAGCCTTATTCTAGTCTCTATCTTAGAAACCATAGTAGACATATTAATATGACCAGTCTTCATTTTCCTGTGGAGTATTTATTCTCAGCATATAAACCACCCTTCTCTTACTAATAACAGAATTCCAAAGGCCCTGGGAGGAAGGAACCCAGCAGCCTGAGGTGTTTCAGCACAGCCTGTCCCCAGACCAGGCCATCTGCTGGGGTCGGGGCACTGCAGTGGAGCTTGGGCCCCGCTGTTCACCAGTCCCCCTTGGTGTGTTTCAGCTACCTCCTGCCCCATCTCCTTCCATCTAAACCTGGCCTGGACACCCACGGCATGCGGCACCCCACAGCCAACACCATTCAAAGGGTATTCAAGATGAGCTTCGTTCCTGTTGGCTTCTGGCAAAGGTTTATAGCACGGATGCTGATCAGTCTGGCGGAGATGGACTTGCAGGTATTATAGCTGCGGTTTCTGCATAGGCAGATGCCCGAGAGGCACCTACAGTTGTACCCTTGGGGGAGGGGAATGCCGTTTGCCGGGGGGCCCTGCCTGGAGACCCTTCTCCCAGAGCCATGCCACCAATGTAGTGCCATGGGGCAGGTGTGGCGTGGGCTGCTGGCCAACCCATTTAAGCCATCCTGTGAGTTCCAAATCAGCACCCTCCTTAGACAGAACACACCCTTTATAAACAGTGGTTCTAAATGTTAGCCCACCTCAAAACCACCTGGAGTTTGTTAGAACAGGGTTTGGTGGGCCCCACCCAAGAGGTTCTGATTCAGTAAGTGTGGACTGAGGCCAAGAATTTGCATTTCTATCCATTCCCCGAGGGGATGCCACTGGCCCAGCAGCCACACTTGGAGAACCGTGAGTTAGAAGCACAGTTTTGCCATCTTGGCTGCACACTAGGCTCACGTGGAGTAAATTCTAAAAGACACAGACCACACTCCAGACCGAGCGAATCAGAATCTGAGTGTGGCATTGTTTGAAAAAGTGATTCCTCTTTGGTATCTTTAAGGCTCCCAGGTGAGTTCCCTGTGCAGTCCAGTTTGAGAACCACTTGTGCAGAACTTTACATGACTCCAGTAACATTGGAGACCCAGCCCAAGGAGTTAGCTTCTGTGGGTCTACCTGAGGTTATGGGAAGGAGTCCCAGCTGTCAGGCAACATTCATTTCATGCAAGGCGGGAACATGGAAGCAATATTTGCTACAGTGGTGTTTTTCAAAGTGGGGTTCCTATACCAGCAAAATCAGCCTCACCTGGGAATATGTGAGGAACGCAAGTTCTCAGGCCCCACCTCAAACCCGCTGCATGAGAAACTCCAGACGGAACCCCACACTGGTTTTCACAACCCCTCCCAGGGATTCTGACACACTTCTGGTTTTGCAAACCTCTGGCATAATCCCTGACTGTCAAATCCTTGACATTAAACTCCGTATGAGTTTAGTGTTGCTACATTCTAATTAGAAAGCCCTTATTGAATTATAAGTTCTTAGCTCTATAAAAGTGTTCTTTGATCTCCCCATTTTCACTGAAATGGTAAGAAAGATCAATGCAAAATCCTTAAAGTCCATCGTGACAGTAGCAGCCTGTGTTAGCGCGGAGGGAGACTGGTTTATAGTGCCAGAAGGGTGCGCTGATTGAAGGAGTGGGCGCAGGCGCTGGTGCTCCTACTTTTCCATTCCTCTGCCCTCCCTTTGAACTCTGTGTCCCGCTGTGTTCTCAGAGGAGGGTCATGGAGCACTAACGTCGTGGGAGGCTGAGCTCACAAGCGGGGCCCAGCTGGACCTGGAGGCCTGGGCGCCCTTCCGGGCAGCAGCATCCCTCACTTGAAGTTAGGAAAGAAGTCCTATTGAAATTCAGATGGGTGACAGGACAAAAGTTCAGCCTCATCACTCATCAAAGGCATGCAAATTCAAGCAGCAGTGAGATGCCACTTTTCATCCATCACATTAGCAAAGAGCTGAGCCATAATCCCCAGCCCCGGGGCACGAAGCTGCCCCATGCACACTGGTAGTCGGTGCACAGGACAGTCTCGTCATTCAAAAAGCGATTCCTCAGGATGCATCCAGAACTTTAAAATATTCAGACCCTTCGACCGATAATCCGACTGGTAAACATCTAAACTAAGGATACCGTTTTCAATCAGAGAAAGCTCTGTGCCTTTCTCATGTAACTCACGGTGGTTTTGAAGGAGCAAAAGATTGGCACCAACTTACACTTCCAGAAGAGAGTGGTCCAGGAAATTACTATGCTTAATAGAATATTAAACTTTAGAAAAATGAATTTTATGTGTGTTTTTAATGACATAGGAAAAGTGAGGTTTTTTAATGTATATGAAATTAGAAATCCAATATGGCTTCAGCTGTTTTTTACACATATATGGAGATAGAAAAAAAAATCCTGGAATAACATATACCAAAATCTGAATGATCTCTCTGCTTGGTGTTAAATGGGTGTTTTGTTTGCCCTCTTACATTTTTCTGTATTTTCTGCATTTTCTAATATGAATATTTGCTTGTAAAGTCAGAAAGAGAAAAATTTTTAAAGGAAAGCCTATTTTTCAATTCTTTGGAAAAAACCGTTTCCAGAATACCCTAGAAACCCTGTCAGATAATGTAATGTTCAATTTGGCAGCAGGGATGAGCAGCGTGGGAGGAGAGGGTGGGAAAGATGCGGGTCATTTATCAAGATGGGGCCCAGCCCGGCCTCCGCAGAGCTCTGCCCAGGACCAGCGAGGAGCCCGGAATACTTAAGCAGGGTCTTTTCTCTGTCTTTCAGCTTTTTGAAAACAAGAAGAATACTAAAAGCAGGAACAGGAAAGTCGCCATTTACAGTTTTACAGGAAACCAGAGAAATCGCTGTAGCACATTCAGAGTGAAAAGAAATCAGACCATCTATTGGCAGGAAGGGCTCCTGGTCACTTTTGATGGGGGCTACCTCAGGTAGGAACACCTGGAAGTTCACCTACCGGGCCAGCAGGTGCCACAGCAGCCACCCCGGGGCCACGTCAGCAGGATGCTTCATCCTCTTGGTGTCCAGAATTTTGCTCGTGAGAGCGGCTTGCCATGGCAGCTTGCTAGAAATGTGAGGCCCTCCCATGAGTGTCCCAGAGGCTCGGGGCTCCTCACCCCTGCTGAGTCCCCCTTGCAGGATGGGAAAGGCAAAGGCAGATGTGGCGGCCACAGCTCAGGACTTGAGGGACGTGGTGGCCATTGAGCTCAGGAGAGCCTCAGGCACCTCCCACAGTTATTCAGGTTACCATGTGACCTTGCAGCCATCCTGCCCGTCCCCTTGTTCTGTGAGGAGCCAGGCTGGGGGCAGGGGGCACTGAGACTCCTCAGCCTCCCTCTGCACTGCCCATAACCAGACACGGAACACAGCTCCCTGTGCCATTTATTCTTTTTTTTTTTTTTTTTTTTTTCTTGAGAGCCTGAGACCCAAACTGAGCTCAAGAGGTGTAACCAATGATAACCACCCAAGACTATTTTAATATTTACAATGAACTTTGCAAAATAGTCTTCAGCTCTGTGAGAGGAGAAGAAGGGAAAAAGCGAGGCAACTTTACAGAGGGCTTGAT